AAGGACTAGGTTTGTTCAGCCAAAAAGTAAAGGTCATTTATCAAGAAGATCCTTAAAATTCCCTACCACTCCCAGGATTTAATTGGCAGAAAACAGGCTTCCCCAACTGACCAAGAGGACACCTTTCAAAATTATACGTTATTAAGAGTTCAGACAGACCAAGAGCTTTCAAACACAGAACCAGTGCTTCAGGATATGGAGCATTATGGATATCGCTATTTGCTTCTATGCAAAAGTTGTGGGAATGTATATGATCTTAGGGAAAGAATAAATGATATACTTTTAAACTTAAGAGTTATTAAGAAAGGAAAAGGGTGGTCCAAGAGGTGGGAAAGCCAACAGTATAAAAATCAGAAAATCTTGAGAAGAATTTCTAAAAGGAGTATGTTATCAATATCAAATGCTACAAAAAAAATACTAAAGACAATCATTTCATTTCTACTTCACAAATTAGCTGTCACATACTCCTACTTCCAAAATCTTAAAGATTCAATAACACAAATATCAGGTGTGATCAAACTAATTTGCTAAAATTTTTAAAGAGCCAATCACACTGAAATATATCAAGGATAAAGAACAGCACCAAAATGCAGAGAACTCAGTTAAAGGTATCCTATATTCATTACTCTCATAAAATATCATTCTTCTCTTTGCTAGGATAAATCGAAAGGTCACTGTGCAAGCAAGGAAAGCTTTTATTTATTGATAAAAGGCAAAGAAAGCTATTAAAAGACTAGGCTACTTAAGAGTCATTTAGTCATACTGCACATACTCCCTTTTAATATTCCCTCAGTAAAAGTAGGCCTGGAGATATAGAACATAAAAATAGTAAACCACACAATCGAAACTCAATGAGATGTGATATGTATCACTAGATATAAAGGATTAAAAGCTGGATGAGAGTTAAGACACTCGTAAGAGGAAAGATAGACACTAACATTTGAGAATACATACAATTAAATACACACGTTTACTTATTTATTCTTAAAAAAAAATTTTAACTTCCATGGGCCTTGATTTCTATCCCAGAAGCTAGTAAAGTAAACCTATTAATAAAGGTTTCCTGGACTAGTGGCTTTCCAACACACTCTTTTTAGATAATTTCAAAAACACCTATCTCCAAGCATATCTGAATATATATACCAAGCATATCTGAATATATATATAACCTGCCTGAAAGTAATGGGCCACATTTTCCATTCTTCATACAAAACATATCCTTTGATATTTTTAAGTACTTTTCAGTTTATATCGAGTGGAGCTGGAAAAAAGGTTTAAGCTAGTTTTAGAGGTGAAACAGCCCTAAAAAAAAAGGAGGTTGAATGTGACAGCATGTGCAATAAGGGCAGTGAAAACAAAATTTAAAAGAATCTGTTCTGAGAAACACAATTGTAAGTATAAAATACCTAAATTAGACTGAATGTGTAACCATAAAAGACAATTTTTAAGATGAGAGAGAGTACTTTCTTTAAAATCTGGCTTTTAAAGCTTAAATAATGTCTTTAAAATGAGACAGAGAAAAAAATAAAAATAAAAAAATGAGATAGAGTACTTTTTTTAAATGTCTGGCTTTTAAAGTTCAAAACTGAAAGGAACTCAATTTAGAAATGAGGAAACTGATATCCAAGAAAACAAAGGAACTTGCTTGGTAATTAACAAACCTAGATGTGACATGAAACATGCTCCAATGAGTGTATCTTTAAAATATGATCTTGATAACTTCTGATGAAAAGACTAAAAATCTTAACCATGTTTCAAATTAACAACTGCAATCAAAGCCAAACTGATTTAGAATTCACAAGACCACATTAAAAAGTTTACATTGCTTAGAAAACAAATGTCCCTCACAAGGACAATTAATAGGATTATAAAAGAAATATTTACTGAACATCTACTATGTGGCAGCAACTATTTTAGTCATCTGGGATATACCAGTATAGAAAATACTTTTAAACATACTCAAGTTATGACAATTACACGTACTTAACTGACAGGGAAATTATAAATCATTCTCCTTCCACTGAACTAGTTCTGCAGCTCCTCAACATCTCTAAGATTAGAACAGTCGCTGTGGATCAGGTTCAGGAGCTCTACCATTAGGAGCAGACACATAAGAATCACCTCTCACCATAAAGCAAGGATACTGCTTTCTGTAACTACGATTGTTCACTTCTGGAACCGTTTCCATACACATGTTTTTCCCGTTCCTTATTCGGAATTCTACACTGCCAGTCACTCAAAGAAGAAGAAAAAAAAATCTCAGGCTAATAGAAGCCAAATTTAGAGAGGGAAATAAAAATCTTCCTTCAGTCTAGGCTAAATGAACTGACTGCACAAAGAACTCCATACATCCGAAAGCACACAGATGTCTGCACCAGTTCCCAGGGCTTAAACAATGCCAGTCATTCAAGAGCTTTCCTTTTACATAAGCTGATGTGAGAGCGCTCAGTCAGCTCTTCTGAACCTCATAACCCAGGATCCCGGAACTCTGATACAGCCACCATTTTCCTCAGCTCTGTTTCATGTACTTTCTCTGGTAAGCAAACTTCATTTTCCCCTAAAAACTAAATCTGGAAATCATCTCTCCTGTTTTCTATAACTGATATGAGTGATATAATTCAATCCAAAATTACTATTCCATTAAAACTAAAAGTGTTAACACAAATCTAAGATCAATACTGAAAAAAACTGTTCGATAAAATGTATTTTTAAATGCAGAAGTTTAAAATATAATTTTAAACATGCTTCATCATGCTAAGTATGAAATGACACCATCTGGCTGCATTTTATCTGCTTCCAGTTGCACAATGTAAAAAACAGCCATACAACACGAAGTAACTTTCCAAAAATTAAAAGAAACTTTCGGAGAACTGCTAAAGAGTTCAAAAAGTGAATTTACACATGCACACTCACACACATGCAACACTAACTACAGACATCATAAATAAAGGTATCTGAGTGTTTGACCAAAACCCCATGCAGGCCTCAGGAAAAATATTCTTCAATGAATGTCCCTCAGAAGCTTAAATAACAGTACTGTCACCTTCAAAGTACATTATTATTGATTCTTCCAACAATATCCTTTACTTGCTAAGTCTGGCAAATTGGAGATTCAAACATTAGTAAATATTTAAGCCACATAAACGCTAATGTACTTTTTCATCACATGGGAAACTTACTTCCTAAGACACTTATCAGACCTGCCAACAAGAAGTAAAGCTCAAGTTTTAAGGGACAAAATGAGAATGACTCATTTAGTTATTAAATTATTAGATCCTGAATAGTCAAAAGAGTTGCCTGTAAATTCACCTCCCGTAACTATGTACTATTAAGAGATTTGTGGCTCTTCTAATTTAACACTCTTTCCCTCTCCACATACACACTACATAATGCAAATAAACATGCTCTGAAGAAGGAAAAGTTCTCTCCTAAGTTTTCTCTCCTTAAATAGTAAATCCTTAAAGATATTCCCCATCTCTCCCCAAGAACACAAAAAAGCAGAGCTCTGAACATACTAACCATTTAATAGATATTTGGGAAAATTTCCATCATCCTTAGAGTTATAAGATTGAATCTGTCAAAAAGGAGAGGGGGAGAACTATTTACCTTTTCATCAAAGTATTACTTCCTAATAAGCACGGAAGGCAACAAAACTCTATGTGTTCTACAAAGCAGTAATCTCAGAGACATTTCAACACTCCCTGACACTTAAACTTCACTGGCAAAACAGACTGCATTTCTCAAAAACACCTTGCAAGTTCTCAAGAACCAGATTCTTCAATCAGGACAGTTTACCATACATTCAACATCTATGACCTACTCCTTGGAACACACAACCCTGTTTCCTACCACTAGCATCATTATGATATTTTCTGATGCTTTATTAAAAGAACATCTGACTTTAGCAAACACCTCTTAGTGCTTCTCTAAAAATACATTTTTATATATTATATAAAGTATATATGTATGCTTTCTAGAACTTCTCACTCTAAAATTTCACTCACTATTGCCCATGTTATCTTTTATAGTCAGACAAAGCTTTTCATTTTCCTGTTATACGGCATTGTCTTAAGACTTTGTCACCAAAAGGATCTGATATCGAGACAAAAGAACATACATAAACTTTTCTTTCATTTTTTCCCAAATTTTAATTACATAATATTAATCCACTCCTTCCTATAAATGAGTTTTAAAGCATTCCAGTATACTTGAAAGTCAAAGAAGTACTAAAAGTTATTCACAGGTACTTATCTTTAGATTTTAACCAATTAATAATAGTTCATTTCAGGTTCATGTTTTATTATCTACACCTGGCTATGACAGACTCTGGCATGACAATGTGTTCAACAGAGACACAGCAAGGAATCATATAGGCAGGACTGAAACATGGTGAGAGAGAAGCACCTGGGGACCAGTTCACATTCTACACAGTAAGATTTGCCCAGTTTCAAGTTTCTCTTATTAGAAAATAAACTTTATGATAAATACATGTTTAGTGAACTAGATATGAGTTAACAACTTAATTTTTTTCATTCAACACTGACGTACTAAAAAAATCAGCTTAATAAAAAAAACACTAGTATTACAAAATAATGGTGTATATAATAAAAGGTATAAGGTTCAGAAGATTTGCGACTAATAAAAATAAATGAAAAAAAGATTTGCGCTATCACATACCACTCTTGTTATCATTCCTTCTTCTCTGCCTTCTAATTATTCTCTCATAATTATAAAATATGCAGAAGATAAAACAAGAACTATAAACATGGCTATTCCCTAAGTGATACTAGAAACACAAAACTATTTATAGACACACCTTACTTTAAGAACATGACCTAACTTAACTTCCCACATTCAAGTCTACTTGACAAAGAAGTCCAAAGAACCTAAAAGTGGGGTCCAGTGTTTATTTTCTCTTGGAAGTGAGGGGTGTCTATGCTAATGGAAAGAAAACAGCCAGGAGGAAATACAATAACCTTTGTACATTATGCAAAACTTACCCACTTGAAGGATCTAAGGCAATAGCTCTAGGTTGATCCAACTCTTGCCAAAATAAAACTTTTCGTAAAGATCCATCTAAATTAGAAACTTCAATACGATTAGTTTCAGAATCTGTCCAGTACAATTTTTCTCCAAGCCAATCACATGCCAGCCCATCAGGGGACAATAATCCAGAAACAACAACATTCTGTACACTCTCAGTTTTGTTGAACTCTATTCGTTTAATGGCTTCTTCGCTGACATCACTCCAGTATATCAAGCCATGACTAAACACAAAGTCCAACGCAGCTGCATCCTCCAAGCCTCCAACTACAATCGTAGCGTTCTCTTTGCCATTTGCAGCATCAACCAATCGCAAGTCCCGCCTGTTTGCATAAAGCAACAAAGGGGCCGCTAGAAGGAAAAGAGAAAAGTACGTAAGTCAAAGGAACACAGTGCATCGATTCCCATAGACTGAGTTTCAAATCAACAATGGTGAGCAAATACTATCAGAGTAGATAAACGTATAGGAAACTGTCGCGATCTTTTCACAAACAAAGCAGTATTTCTGCAGCATTTTAAATACAAAAGACTTGCAAGAGGGGGAAATCAATTCCACCAGGACAGTCTTTTCCTATTAAAATAGTCTGTCAGATAAAATAAAAAAGTTTGATCATTTCAATAATTTGACAAGGGAAAAAAAAAAGAATTTGACAGGGATATAGAGCCAGTGGACCACTCATACTTTATTGAGGGTGGGCCTGTAAAATGGTGCAGCATTTTTGGAAAGCAGCTTGGCAGTTTCTTAAGAGTGAATAAACAATCTACTATATGATCCAGCCATTCCATGTCTAGATATTTACATCAGAGAAATAAAAGTATAATGTCAATACAAAGACCTATGTATAATGTTCACAGCAGCTTATCTGTAATAACCCAAGCTGGAACCAACCCAAATGTCATCAACAGACTAATGGATGAATAAATTGTGATATAACCACACGATAAAAAGTAATGAACTATTGGGACTTCCCAGGCAGTTCAGTAATTAATACTCTGAGCCTCCACTGAAGGGAGGCTGGCTTCAATCCCTGGTGGACAAACTACTGATAAAACTCCACATGCCGCACCACAAGCCCCCTCTCCTCCCAAAAAAATGAACTATCTGTTCATGTAACTTGAGTGAATCTCAAAATAGTTATGTAGAATGAAAGAAGTCAGACAGAGAAAAGTATATACTGCATACTCTGTTTATACAAAATTTTAGAAAATTCAGATTAATCTATTATGACAAAAAGTAGTTCAGTGGTTATCTGGAGGTGGGGAGAGAGTGGAAAAGAAAAGGAAGGAGGAATGATAAAGGGGCATGAGGAAACCTTTGTAGGTGATGACTATATTGTAGTGACTGATGATGGTTCCAGAAGTGTATACGTATGTCAAAACTCATTAAACTTTACTTATGTGTAATTTATTGTATTATCAAGTATACCTTAATAAAACTGTTCAGTCTAGCAGACATAGTTCTTAATACAACTATTTTTTATTGCTTTATATTATTATAACGATCTTCGAATAAGACTTAATACTAAAATTATACATAAAGCCTATCCTAGAAAAATTAAAGTGTTCAAAAAGAGTAAAGAAAAAAATGATGTTTAAGCCAGTTTATGGGCTGTGCTGGCCAAACAGACTTATGAGGTCCACTATTTTCATCAGTAAGCACAACATGAACTTTCCTTCTAAATAAGTCTAAATCCAACTTTCTTAGTTAAAAACAGATTGGCGGATAGCTTTTTCAAAAAGTGACAGCCCTTTCTGTTTGTGTACCTACAGCTGCTATTGGCAAATTAGTAAATGTCCATCACAGATTCACTTTTGGCTCATTTCAGCCCTTAATGTGTGTTAATTGCTCAGTCGTGTCCGACTCTTTGTAACCCCATAGACTGCAGCCCACCAGGCCCCTCCGTCCATGGGATTCTCCAAGCAAGAACACTGGAGTGGGTTGCCATTTCCTCCTCCAAAAGGAACTATAGTAAAGAAAGAAAGTGAAGTCACTCAGTTATGTCCGACTCTTTACAACCCCATGGACTGTAGTCTACCAGGCTCCTCCATCCATGGAATTTTCCAGGCAAGAGTACTGAAGTGGGTTGCCAGTTACTTCTCCACTTCAGCCCTTAATATATCACACTGACTTATCAGTCGGCATTGTGTTCACTGCACTATCTAAAACTGAGTTTCTCATACTATGCGTCCACTGTAAAAATCAGGAAAAAGGTCATATTAGTTAAGGATAAAATGCTAAGTGCTGCATAAGGTTAAGAAATAGCCCCAAAACATTTACAATTTAAAATGCAAGGGTGGTAATAATCCGATATCTATTGGGCACCTTTATGGCACTTTCCTTGGAAAACTATACAAAACCTGCATATGGCATTAAGTGGCAGCTAAATGTCTTTTATGACTTTCAAGTCAAACATTATCATTTCTACTAAACATCTGGTCTACAAAATCCAAAGATCCTTTCTGATAATTTAAGTTCTCGCAAACCTTAAGAGTAACCAAAAAAAAAGGAGGTGAGGGGAGGAGTGGACAAGTCAATTTAAGTTAGCAACATTGATTACAACTGAGGACTTCTAAAGGACTATGCACAAACCTATGTACACTATTAAAAAGAAATCCCAGAGTTCATCCTGTCCAAACATCCTTCTGATACTTGAATACTTTCTACAGTATTGTCACCAATATCTATTTAGCATGGGGCATCTAAAAGGTGTAATTTGATTTCTAATACTGTTTTAATCTACTAAAGAAATACGTTGGATCCCCACACACTTTCCCTGAGTTGTAGCATATATGCCATGCATGCAGTATTTTCATTCCAAGAAACTTACTTTCGGACTTCCTAACTCAAATAATCACACTGTATCTCTTTAGTGAACCCTCAAAAGAACTTAGAAATCCTTATTTTCCTTTTTAACTTCCTACCAATCTTTCTCTAGTGGCATTCTAACCTTTTTCTGCTTTCCTGAAGACAAATTCCATGCTCTGAATCCTTCACCCCACATCATCTCACAAAGTAATCTCAGTGAAGCAGGAAGTGAAGGAAATATTATACATCCCAACATCTAAAACCTCTCAAAAATCTCTTTATATCCCATCCATCCTCCTCAACGTTGTCGTCAGTCTCAAACGACAACCTTCCCTTCCTCCTTTCTCAGTCTATACCTCTATTTGAAACTAAAAGGCAGGTTAAGCATCATCAGAAGAATTAACTCTATATTATAAGGAGAACATTCTACATAGGTGGGGATATGGTCAACATTTTTTTTCCAACTGGAAATAGACCTTTTACAAAGCTCAATCATCTCAACCTCTCATATACCCTCTCGTTTGAATGGTATATATATATATTGGTCATTCTGTGAAATCTTATTTCTTTTGTATATAAGTTACATTATCATTTATATTCAATAAAATGCACAAATACATATTTAAAGTGTACAGGTCAATAAACTTTAATAAATGTATGCAACTGTGACAACCACTCCAATCAGGACACAGAATATTTCTATCACTCCCTGAGTTCTCTGTTCCTTTCCCGGTTACTCTTGGCTCCAGCAACCCCGATCTGCTTTCTGTTGATACCGATTAGCTTTGCCTGTTATCTAGATTTCTGGGGAATCGTATAGTGTTTACTCTTCTGTTGGCATATTTTTGAGATTCATCCATTCTGTTATATGTATCAACATTATTGTTGAGCAGAATTCCATCGTATGTATATACTAAAATTTGTTTATCCATTTTCCAGTGTGTAGACATTCAGACTGTTTACAGGTTTTAGCTATTATTAGTGAAGGTGCTGTAACAATTCATGTACAAATTTTTGTGGAGTCATACACTCCATTTCTCTTGAATAAACAACTAGGAGTGGGACTGCTGGGTCACATAGGAAGTTTGCATGTTGGTCAACATTTTTGAATGCTGCAAAAAAGTCAAGAATTAAGGACAGATAAGGCAAGTTGGATCTGGTTATGAAAACTTGGAGAAAGCAGTTTCAGTTGAGTGATAGGTGGGAAGTTGAACTAAAACAGTCAATAGCTAACAGATGGTTAAATGAAGTGTAGTACATCAATATTGTAAGATTTTGTGGTTAATTATTCTTTTGGTTATAGAACGGTTAGCTTTATTAAAAACAAAATTTTTTTATAGCAGGGACCTGGCAGGAACCACTGCAAATATAAGAAATAGGATGGTGAGATGGCCAACAAGAAGTTTTATGAGTAGAACTGAAACTCAGGCTGGAGATGACTTGAAAATTACTGGACTAGAGCTGCTTATGATCAGGTAAACTCAGATAATCTTCTCTTCTATGCTTCCTTACTTAGAGAACAGAGTATGGACAAGAAAATTATACAAGTTGGCCATCTCTCCCTGCCATAAAATTAAATTCATCACCTTTCTCCCACAGGAAACCCTCAAGAGTCAATGGTACCACAATTTTCCTAATTCCTCTATTGTGTCATGGAGCCAGCCTTGACACCTTCCTTTCCCCCTTCTCTCCACCCTCCCCCACCCCGTCTGCCAATTACAATCTTGTTGATTCTTCTTTAGCAGGTCCTTATCTCTGCCTCTTGTTTTGCACTTTTTAGACCACTACCCTACTCCAGCCCTTCATTACCCCATGCGAAACTACCTCAATAGTAAAAGATCTCAACACTCTCTCCCTTCCCTTTTCTACTTCCTGTGTGTGTGTTAGTTGCTCAATCATGTCTGACTCTTTGTGATCCCATGGACTGGGTCCTGAGGGGTCCTGCCAGGATCCTCTGTCCATAGCATTCTCCAGGCAGGAATACTAGAGAGGGTTGCCATTCCCTTCTGCAGGGGATCTTCCCAACCCAGGGACTGAACCTGAGTCTCCTGCATTGAAGGCAGATTCTTTACCACCTGAGTCACCAGGAAGCCTACTTCTAATACTTGTTATTTTATCTAATTCAAAAAGGTTTCTGATTTCCTTTGCCTAAAATTTAAAAGCCTCAATATCTCTGGGCTCCACTAGGTGACTTCTACCTGTGACTCTACCTTACCCTGCATAGTCTCTGAATGGTACACACTAGTTTTTAACGCATCAACTGTGAGCACATCATACCTCATCACCACAGTGTACTCACATTCCTGCTCACTTCATACCTCTCCCACCTCACAAAGCAAGCAAGTCCTGATTCAAACCTTATCTATTCCAAGGATCTTTCCAATTGACTCACTTTCCTTCGTTGTATGCTTACAGTCTTTACTACTTATTTGATAACGAAAGTTTTAAAGTTTATTTCCTGCTTCAACTAGGATCTCTGCCACTTGGGAAGAAGAGCCATATCTTTTAACTAATTTGGGGAATGCCTACTAACACAGTTCACTGT